CCCCAAAACCCCAAAACCCCAAAACCCCTCGGTGCCATTACTAAACAAATAAATTGTAAATTGAAATTAAATCGGAACTTATTGATATAGCTATCAATTGCTATTGCAATAAAAGGGGATTGGATATGTATCTAAAGAACAATAATCAGCAGAATTTCTTATCTTTAAAGATAGCAATCAAGATAAACAGTGAACAAAAGCTTAAAACTCCACCAAGATAGTAAAAACCATTTATTTAAAGCTCATCTAATAAAAATATCTCCAAAGCCGAACTGATAAGCTAAGAAAAGCCTCCAAAGGAAAATGCATATGCATAAACCATTGTAGCTTGAGCACCAAAATGATTTGCAATAATGATCGGAACTAAAGTGTAATGAGCTCCTTCACACCAAAATATCAAGCATATGTAAATCAAGAACAAAGCTTTGATACTAACTATATAGGCGAAGCTAAAAGCTATTCCTATTTGCAAAATTAATATTGAACCATAGACTTTCTTGTATCCAAAGTAAGCAATTAAAGGTTACCATACAAATCTTATACTTGAAGCAAATCCCCCAAGACTCCCAACTAATGTTATAAATTAATCATCCTTGAGTATTCCAGCTGCAAAATTTCTATATGTTGACATGAAAAACATTCCAACAACTAAATTAAGTAAAGCTAGAGCAAACTTACAAATCGACATGAAATTCATGAAGTAAATTGAAAGAAATTATATTGAAGTTAGACATTTCCCTAAAGAGGGGACATTGACTTCTCTGAGTTGTATTGATAACTTTCTAAGTTCCTCTATAAATTAAGATGAGTAATAATTTTAAATTATGCATTGATTACTTGCTTCTAAGACTTCAATTTAAGGTTCAACATCAACTTCTTCAAGATTGCTAAAATGTTGTCTATATTTTTAATATACTAAAAGGAATATTACTTCATTAATGGGAACGAATTACTTGGTTCTGTTCTTATTGCAGTTTGTATATTTATGATAATTTGAGATGAGGCATCAACTTATTCAGGAGGGCCAAATGTCATTATTGTAGAAATCAAAGCTATACCTCCCCAAATAGCTGACAACATTTATAACATAAAAGGGACATTGTTAGCTACTTCTGGTGGATATATTCCTTTGCTATCAGGATCAATATTATCTGGGTTAACAAGTGCACTAGCTATAAACCCAAATATAAATGAGCCCATGCCAAAACCACATAATACTACTCCAGTCACAACTCCTTTTTATTCAGGAAAATGCTTCCAGCTATTATAAATAGGAACAGCATACTAAACGATAAAACTTAATAGATTTTATTACACTTATTCCATTGCTGAATCCAAAACTTAGAGTGTAAAGTACTAAGAAACTCATGAAATCTGTCGTATAAGAAGCGCCTATCATTAAAGCTATAGCGATTCCACAGCCAATTAGTATCATCCTAAACAAAATTAACTTTAATGGAATTTTAATAAATGCAGTCATACAATCTTGGATGAGTTCTCTTTGATATATAACTACCAAGAGGGAATAAAATGGTTGCCCAAATTATACTCAAAGAGAGCAGTAGAAACATGTCCGTGTTTGAAATCTTTTGAAATTAACTTAGATAAGACTTGAAATATGGAGTGATGTTTCCTGTGACATACATCGAACCTAGATACTAAATTAAATCGTAAGATGAAGAAATTACTAGCATTAAAATGAAGCCTGCTGCTACAGAACTTATCCCTCTCATTTTTTCACGATTCATTATGAGATTTATTACTTTAATTGATAAATTAATTAGAATTTTAAAAAATAAATCTATTTATAATTAAATTTAATAAACTCTATCCTACTCAAGGGGTTTTGGGGTTTTGGGG